CATCGGTTTCTATATTTCCCAACCATGTATGTTGTTTTCTGCCAGCGCCGCGCTTTACCTCAATTTACCTTTGTAACACCAATTTTGTGATCGAGAACCGGGACCCATCGGCGGATTTAGGGGGTGGCGCGGAGGGCGCCCGCCCCCTACGCGCTCAAGTCCTGCAATTTGTTTTTCATGAAAATGCAGTATCTTACCTTGCTAGACCAACCATCGCTATTCAATGTTACAAGTGTATTTGTACTCAGAAGCGCTGCTTCAATGGTGACAGCAAGTGTTGTGTCACGTTTTTTAATGCTAACTGTAAGATTTTTTCAACGCCTCTAAATCAGCCAAAGAGTCCGGTACTCGATATCAATGGGTGTTACAAGGGAAAATAGAGAAAAAGCGCTGTCCTGGCAGAACATACATGGTTCAACAATACAAGAAACTGATGTGGCATACCGATCGCCTCAACCATTTCCGACAAGACGAAGTGGTGATGCTGTAGCCATTGGAGAGAAATAAACAATTGATCGCCGCGGCATTGCACATGCCACCATAAAAAGGTTGAAATGTAGAACAATAAGTTATACGTATACTATTTATAGAAGTTAATTCAACATACCTAGTGAGATTACGATATTATTAGAGTATCTTGAATATTTATTTGTTTTATTAAGCGTGTGCATAGTTATCTTGTTTTTAGAAGGGCTTAATTTGTCCCATTTTCATTTTGGCTGCAGTCTTCCTCTGATTAGCATCGAGCATGAATAATGTAGTCGGCGCGGCAGTATCCTAAACTTGTAAAAAGTACTCGAAATTAGGTCGTATCTGGGTATTGTACAGAGTGAGGAAGTGGTGTGGAGAAAACTACTTCTTAGCTATAAAGAAATAACTACCCTAGCTCTTTCCAAGCAGCTGCCGCTATAGACTAGATCTGTTCGTGCCAGATGAAGTCATCGGTGATCTGGAGTCCGACCAGCCGAACTGAACGACTTTTGGTAGGATTCGGCCAACCATCAAAACCGATTGAGCGCTAGTTTTTGAAGCATTAAACTGTACAAGGTTGATGCGTCCCCAAGCAGTGATAACATCCAGGTCTCTCGTCAGAGAGGAAGTTGCTGCTTGTCTTCAGGATCCACAAGCCTGCCCTGAGAGGTCACAGGCAGTTGCTCTCTATACGGAAGTATAGTATTGATAAGTTAATTATCAACATTACTGCATGCCATCCTACTCTATCCATCAATATGAACACCGAGCAACCGGTGTTTAGTCTACCAACAAACCTGACCCGAAAAGACTCGTCGCGACGCAGTTTGTAGTCTTAGACATCAAACAAGTAGGTACTACTAAGTACTACAACGAAAAATTTAGATGCCGTAAGTGTAACAGGAAGAAAATGTTTACATGCGACATCTCGAATGCACAGCATAACCTGCACCGTACGACCAACATCGCATACACAACACCTGTTACTTGTCACTGACAGATCGTTAATTACTGTTATAGCCCAGTTCCCTCATACAGGGTGATGCAGATTTGAATGCAGAAAAGATATGGAAGGTACGGAAAAGGCATGATGTTAGGTCAGTGCCGGTGACAGGGGGGGGGGGGGGCAACCGCGGCAATTGCTCAGGTGTCCGAGCCGGCCGGGGGACTGGCTGGGGCAAAAATAAATTGGAAAAATAAGTAAAAGAAAGGCAAAAATTTACATTTTGTTTTAACATTTAAATTACACTTAAAAGGTGATTAAATTATTTGATTTTCGTAGCGTGCGCGCATTATGAATGGGCACTTATTTGCCAGCAGCAACGGTAGTAGTGCTGGGCCCGAGCCCCCTTCTTGTTGTTGTGCTGTCAGTACGTGTGAGTCAAACCATGATACTACCGGGTGATTCTCCAAGGTGGTTCATCGCTATAACTTTTTTCGGTAATAGATGAATTTACATTTTTTGTCATACTCACTTGTTTTGACGTACTTCCGGTTTGACCCGAAACGACTCCAACTTTCGATTTTTAAATGGGATACTTTAATCAAATTCAAGCGGATAACCAAATGGAAATAGTATTTACCATTTTGGGTTGGTATTTACCGATCCGTTCAAGCGAGTGTAGTTATTAGTTTGGTTATAAGATCCGTGACGTCACGAATCAGCTGTTATATGTCATAGTTATCACCGCAAAATTGTGGTATTTACCCAACTCAAGAGTAGTTTTTTATTTCTGGTTATTATTTGAAATGTGACAAGTTAGAATTTTGCCGGGTATTGGATATTGTTATTGTACTTCAGCTTCATTTTTGAGAAAATTGATACAGGCTGACTTCAGTTTTACCATAAAGTGGAGCACCTTATTAGTTATACTCATTACGGTTGTTGGGGACACATTAAATGTAGTTTCTGTGCTTAACAAAGTATCCTGTGTAGCCATATACCACAAGAATATTAAAATATGGCCATATAAACTCACTAGATGATATCCACCTGTATACGGTTTGGCTAATTTCTTTTGTCATCATTTCTGCTGAATCAATAAATGTTTTCTTTGACATGCGGAAAAATTTAGAGAATTGAAAGTTATCATAGCTACAAAGCCATGGTTCCATAATTAAAAAAAATCTGAAAAAAACATTTCTCCCATGAATATTATGAAAGGTTTATTATTTAAACTTTCCATATACAGTTGTAGACGAAAAAGCACCGATTATTAAGTGATAATAAAAATAATCAGAGATTATATACGCGCTTTTCTAAAATAAACAACAAAACCGCGATTAAAACCAACGCGTTCAAGCGATTCGTGTAACTGACGTCATCAACCCGTGTGTCATCTTGAACCATATTATAACCGCGGCACATAACACAGAAATTTTGGTTATTCGTTTGGATTTGATTCCTATATATTCTTACTTATTTCGATCGAGAATGACATTCTAGCTCAACAACGCCCCACTTGTCAATATTTGACATATAAAGTCATTTTTATTTCTCGATCTAGAATGCAATGGATCCTGTAAATCGCTTTATTTTTGATTGGAAAAATACGATTCTGAGGTGAACGACCTTACACTCGTTTTAAGTATTTTCTAAAAGTTAGAAGCACTTGTTGTTTCAGTTTACTTGATTTTTTCAAATAGAAAGGGGGTGGTTCGTCGGCTTTTTCTAAGAGACCATTTTCTTACGAATAAGTTGATACTACACACCCTTATTTTACTTTCACTATTTTTCTCAATAATTGTAAAAAAACGATCATACCTAACAACAGATAATACGTATCTGCATTCAGTAAACCTACGCACTAAGTCCTATTATTCTAGTTATCCGTGACAAACAATTGAAGGTGTTGGTTGGATAACTTCAACAAATACTTAATCTAGGTTATTCAAAATAGTGTCATAAAGTAAGGTCGGCATTTCGGAACATCACTGTGGAACAGTTGATCAATGTGGTGTAAGCAACAATTGATAATGTTGGAGGACGCCATTTTGAATACTTAGAACCTTAATAGCAGATTTTTTAGTTTTATTTTTTGTTATAGTGGTGATAGGATATGTATTTACACAGCCGACGTCCTGAGGCGCGAACAGCCACAGTCACACTTCTTAGTTTATTTTTAAAGCACAGAAGCACTACAACTGGAGTCTATTTCTCATATATTATAGTCACCGATCACTTTGAACACATACACACACTTTGAAGCTTAGAAAACAAGCTTATCTCTTAATTACAGCCTCTGGGATTCCAAAATCACAAATTGAAAAGGTTATGTTTTCTCAGCGTTTTGAGCACGAGTTGCGTCGATGCAGCAAGCAGCGGCGGGAGTAACACTACCACCTACGTTGCCAGATTTCTTTGTTCACGGCTCGTAGTTGACGTCGGCTGTGGTATTTAATTCATTTGTTCAGTTTCTCCAACATAGGCCAACACGTCTACTTCCTTTTATTCACTGACGATACAGTTATATATACAAAAATTGAAATAAAAATAACTTTATATGCCAAAAATTGACAAGTGAGTCGCTAGTGAGTTCAGAATGTCATTCTCGATCCAAATAAGTAAAAATATATAGCGTGTTCCATTTAAAAATCGAAAGTAGGAGTCGTTTCTGGTCAAACCAGAAATCCGTCAAAGTAAGTGAATATGCCAAAAATGTAAATTCATCTATAATACGCAACCTCAAAATTTCGTTTTCTATCTTCAATAATAAAAAGTTTATAGGGGTGCGCCGCCTGGGAGAATCACCAGGTATATTATACAGTGTCCTAAAAGTTGGGACTTCCCTTTAGAGAGCGTATATGTTAGGCAATAATGAGCAAGTTTTCCTAGTAACTCATATACCAGAGCCTTAAGGTGACCAAGATCTTAAGTTCCTCATGGGTATCATGTAAAAAACCTAAAAAACGTCAAAAAAACCTATAAGATGTCTTCTTGCAAACTAGGTAGTTTTTAGGGCGCAAACAGTCATTCCACGTTTGCTCACTAGGATCGTAGTGAACGTCCATCTATGGAGGAATCACTCAACTAAATTACACGCATTATTGGTTGCATATGTTTTGTGAGGCCGAGTGGTCCTTGTCTGTAGTTTTGATCTCTGAGAAGAAAGTTGGTTGAATAGCAAGATCGCATCCGGATGATTATGTATATTGGTCTGCATGTGTATAAAATCAGTGATATTTGCTGTGTGAGAAAGTAATTACTGAATATGCGGCCAATGAAGTATATCTATCGGCTGTGCCCGACGGGTTATTTTTATGTTGTGCTTTCTGAAGAGAGGTTATGTTCAAAGTTATAAATTACGAAATTTTGAGGAGAATTACGGGAAATCATCACCGCGCCTGCGTTGTGTGTAATTATTGTTAGCATGTATATGGCTTGTAATTCGACAGTGTACAGTGAATATAATTATTTCTTATCTCTCTCATTTTTTAAATATCTACAGCAAATTTGTATGTGTAATTTCCAGAATGGATGGCTGCGCAACTAATTTCTAGCTTTGACTCTCAATTAAGTGTATTCGAGACAAGAACCCAATATAATTGTCATCAACACATACAACTTACAGCTTAGACCTCCAGTAATGCCATCTCAGAAGCAGATTTTACATAACATCAAAGCCAAAGATTGATAACAAGCCTCATGACGTACGCAACACGTACAACTAAGTGCTAAGTTAACATCTTGTAGAAAAACCTACATAGTTTCAAAAAAAAAAACCAGTATAATGTCAAAGAAAATCGATATAAAGTCTGTTTTTAAGATACTTGATACCCGTGCCGAAGTTCCGTAAGTTCCTCAAGATGGGCTAGCCCGATAATGCCTTCCTCCCCTCCTTCTCTTCCTCCACCTCCTCGTCCTCTGTAAAAAGGTATGATGTTTTGTGGTATTATATGAATCACTATCCAAATCAGGTGTCGCAGCGGTGTATAGGTTAACCTAGTCTACATGTTGACTTTGTTAGTACCATTTGAAAAACCAAAATCAGCGAATTGCTAGAATAATGACGTAGATATCGATTTGATGTTAGTTTACTTTTAGGGTCTTGCAGATTCTATCGATACTCTGCGAGTGCAGTCTCAACGGCCTCAACGTCGTCCTCGATGTTACCATCACAACTGCATGTTTGTTTACACCGTGCAAAAGCCGTTTGGGTGAACATGGCAGAAGACCATTTACTCAAGTCACAGGTCGCAGTTACGCAATAAACAACGTTCTTACACGGTTATTGTTTTTTAAGACCTAGTTTTTCAAGGCCAATTTTAATAATAGTATATATGGGCAGCACCACTTGTCGGGGCCTTTGGATAACCATAAGATTTTGTGTCTATGCCACAAATGGCATTGAACTCATGAACCAAGAATACACGAGTTTCAAAGTTGAGCACTGCATTTGGCCAACTTTCAAAAGTGAGGTTTGAGATATATAACAATGAATAATAAAGTTTGATTTTAAAGGTGAACAAGAAATAACAAATGGCGTTAAATAGGTTGACTCCCACGAATATGTGAAGCACAAACTTACCCTCTGAGAAAAAAGCCAGTCAAATATGTTCATACGATTAGTCCATAGACAATCTTTCCCTATCCTACCGACAGTTGTCTCTCTCCGAAACCTAATCGCACGGGTATTAGGTATCTTGAAAAATGACATTCGTCGGGTTTTTTGACATTTCGTAGGTTATTCGTGACACAACGTAGGTTTTTATACAAGATGTTAACTTAGCACAAGCTGTTGTACACTTGTGAACTCGTTTTGTAGCTGTGCGTGTTGCTTAAACGTCAGCGAACAGCGATCATAGCGAGCAAACGCGGAATGAACTATTTGCACAATAAAAACTACCTTGTCTTCAAGATGACATTTCGTCGGTTTTTTTGACTTTTTTTAGGTTTTTTACATAATATTCCTGCTGGTCATACGAGGCACCGCGGTGACACATTTTGCTATGGCGCGGCAGTGATATCATGTGGTGTCAACTGAGACCTGGCAAGGTGCAACACAGGAAAACTGGCAACGTTTTTTTCAGTGAAAACACGGCTGGCAGGAAGTAAAAATTAGAAAAATATAACAATAGATTTAAGAGAGGAAATGAAAGGTTGGTCCAAAATATAACTGACACATAATATACACCTGTGTTGGGAAAAACAACCTACATTCTAGTGTTAATAACATTGAAATGCATGACGTACAACCCCAGCTGTATTAAATCTCAAGGTTACTTTATACATTTTAGAGCTTGCTCCAGTTCTTTCCCGTCTCTTCCAGATTTCTTACGAATCTGGAACCTTACCACAAAAATGGAAATTTGCTCATGTCCAACCCATCCCAAAAAAAGGATCTAAGACTGATCCCTACAATTACAGGCCTGTAGTTCTGCTTTCTGTTTTTAAGTAATATGATGGAGAGGTGCAAAAATCTGGAGCTTCTGGAGTACCTCGAACGTCACGACTTGATTAGCGACAGGCAGTATGATTTCCGGCACCAGCGATCCACAGGGGACCACCTAGGTTACATCACGCGATTGTGGAGTAATCTCATCCAGTTTTATGGTGAGGCTCATGTAGTTGCTTTTGATATCACGAAAGCTGTGGCACGCTACCCTCTTAGGCAAACTTCCAGAGGAATTTTGCAGATGGGTGGCTGACTTTTTCTCTGACCGCAAGATATGTGTCGTAATTGATGGGTTCTCCTCTTCATCCCACACCGTGAACGCGGTTGTTCCCAGGGATCCGTTTTGGCTCCGACACCGTTTCTCTTACATATCAACGACCTCTTTTCTTGTATGATGGACTAAATCAACAGCTTTTCTGATGACAGCACTCTACATGAAGAAATTCAGAGCGACAAGCCGATCTCTGCCGGTGAGCTAGGAAAAAAACTAGCAGCGACTTCCTCTCTGACGAGAGACCTGGAGGTTATCACTGCTTGGGGCGCAACAATCTTGTACAGTTTAATGCTTCAAAAACACATTTCTGTACCTTGACGAACAAAGAGAGTCCGGTTTCTATGGATGGCTGAGTTCTGCCAAAGAGTTGTATATTTCGGCTGGTCGGAGTCCAGATCAACTAGGACTTGATCTGGAATGAACACATCTCGTCAATAGCGGCAGCTGATGGGAAAAAGGGCTAAGAAGTACTTTTCTCCGCATGACCTCCTTATTACTCTACACAAGGCCTAGATAAGACCTGGCCACGAGTATTAGTCACACGTTTGGGGTGCTACCGCCCCGATGCTCGATGCTTTCCGCAGGCTGTCCGACTGATCGATAACTCATCTCTAACAGAGTCTCGGGAAACTTTCGCAACGGCGAGCCGTTGCCGATCTAGCTCTGTTTTACCGCTACACCAAAGCGCTTTGCTCCTCAGAGCTCCCCTCCATGATGCAGCCGCGCGATGTGCCTACCAGACATACCCGCCTGATTTCGGCCTCCCATCCTAACCGTGTCGAACTTTGTGCATCCAGAACTGGCCGATACGCCCGCTCCTTTGTCCTGAGGGTGTTGGGACTATGGAACAGTCTACAAGAGGAATATTTTCGCAATTCTACTAACCTTAGGCAGTTCAAAAAGCGGATTAGCAAAATGTCTTTGAGATCCTCATAGCAGCCGCGGTGTCCTGGCGTTTAGGTTTCTGCCTGTCGGCTACTTCGGTGTAAAAAAACGTTTTTATTTAATTTATTTGTGTATTTTTTATTCCACGCTTATGTGGATTTAAATTTATTCACGATGCTGACGAGTAATGTCAATAAATTATTATTAATTAAAAGTAAACATATTCTCGCGACTCGCATTAGACTCCAGTATCAGCCTCTGATTTAGTAATAATTTAACATTGTTATTATCCATTATATGTACAAGAAGAGATTTTCCATGTTTAGCATTTTGGAAGATCACCCTATATCTCTAGGTTGAGTAATGAGGTGCAGGTGGCATTACACGTGGTGTGGGAAACGCTAAAATCCGTAGTGATTTGGGTTGTTATACTGATTAGTGTTGGTTTTTTCATTTGTTTTTACTTTGAGAGAAGGGTTGGAGTGGCTGAGGACGGATGTTGAGACAATATTTCCCACGACCCAGGTGACATTGAAGGAGGTAGCTCGAGTTATTTACTTATATATAAATATGATCGATTTCACTGAGTACAACCAAAGGTTAAACCTAAAAATACATGGAATCGCTCGCAAGAACTAATGGAACGTATATGGAACATTCTTTACACAGAAATATACATTTGTGATCCCTGTGCCATTTCAAAATTCTGTCAATCTTCAAAAATCGGCTAGACATTAACGTTCACCATATAATTGACATTATCCTTAGTAGTATAGCTTTCACCAATCCGACCACAGTTGGCCAACCATGGACAGCTGTTTTGTGCTTTTTGGCAACTCCTCAACATTGTCTCAGGTAGGACAACGAACGAAAACTCAAGTATCCTCTATCCAGTATATAAGGTAAGACAGCACAGCACACACAACACATTTATTCCCAGAATTGGCCACAGAGAGAAAATACAGCCAGTCTCTCTGTTGAAACTGTATCCTAGTTGGAATTTGATGGGCTTCTCAGGTCGCAGGGACGAAAGCTATAGATATTACTAGTTTGTTAAATGGCGGGTAGACAATATCTACTATACGACCAGAATCGGCGGCATCAGTGGTCACAGTGTTAGTCTGGTTGTCAAATGTGCACAGGGATACTGTTCCAACAGACAACATGCTGTTTTCAGTCTTGCAGTGGTTGATTCTGAAAATATATGGCACTTCGTGCTGACATATTTCGATTAATATATTTTATTGTACTTTGACAAAGATAATCGAAACATTAACATGGTTTTTCACCCAATAACCAATTATCGCGCCAGCTTCCATCTCTGTTCCTCTTGAGTTCATACGAGCGCCCTTGAGTGGCAAGCGAAATGTCAGTAAATTTCATACAGCATTTTTGTATTTAAATCACTGTACAACTCTCTACACATAGGCTGATGTAAACCAGACTTATGCCAGTCCAGCCCATGTAAGCGTCGTTGAGTGGCAGTAGAAATGTTCGGCGCTTAGCCATTATCTGCCCACCACTCGAGTTCATATGAGTGCCCTTGAGTGGCACCCTAAACGCCTAAATAGTTCGTTATTCCGCATCTGCGGCTTTAGTTGATGCTCAGAAGAAATGGTGTCAAGTAGATTGACAAAACAATTTCCAGTACAATTTTCTATGTAGTGCAATATCGCGACACCGCGCCGTCTGCTACCTGCTTGAATAGGCTCCTTCCATCCACTACCAAAGATGCAATATTTACAACCTCGTGGCGCACAGCAAGCTATCCGTCTGCTGGAAATATTTAGTCTAATAGGTGCGTAGAATTATCGGGGCTGGAAGCGTATTGATATACTAGCATCAAAAAATTGCAGTATATCCAACCCCACTCTCTTACAGCTCCTCCCTCCCCCAATTTTTTGCCTATGAACAATTTTTCAAAAATGATCAGGATTCTCTAAAACGTCAAAAGCTCAAGACATTTTAATTTTTTTCGTTTTCGGAATTTTGCTCCGCTGGTACTGAACCGATTTCCAAATACTATAAAGCTTTTCGCCTTTGGAATGGTAGTAATTGCGATTAAAAATTTTATCCAAGTCCGAGCAGTACTGTCAAAGTTATAGATGGGCCAAGGATAAGCGGACAGTCCGACAGAAATGAGTGACGTGTTTTTTCGTGATGACCAGTAAATTGAATTTAATGCAGTTCAATCGACATTATTTTAAGTACATAAGAACATTTACAAATGGCATGCCATATAACGTCCAAATTTTTTCTGATGAAATCAACTATTCATCCGTGACTAGCAGTCATAACGCCAGAAAAGTTCTTTATTTAGCATCTTTGGATTCAATTATTATCATTTGTAGATGAATTCTTTAAACAGGCTAACTATTCGCAATGGACTAGTAAAAATCAGAGCCATTGTGATTTTATCTTCGCACCCCTTGGCGTCCTTGAATGGCAACCGAAACGTCTATAAAGTCCTTGCAACAGTGGTTCTAATTATTACCCAGGGTAAAAGCTTTGAAAAAGATGAACCGTTTATATCCCCAATCGCGCAGCAGCGTTAGTGCATTCCTGTACGACTCTGATCCACGCCAGATCCACTTTGAATTCCATCTCCGTGTCACTCGACCCCATATGAGCGCCCTTGAGTGGCTGTAGGTACACAAAAATGCCATATAGCCGTGGCTATTACCGCATTCCGTTCGGCCCTTTTCTTCACCTACCTGCCTCCTACTCTCGCTTCGAACCTCTGCCTTCCCCCTATTTTGATCCAGCATAAAATCCCTGAAATAATCTAGTAAATTAATGGACAAATACTCGTTCTTGAAAAATCACATGGAAGCTCTAAGTTGCTCTCTTCTGCTTTTGAGCCAGTTCGTGGTAAACAAAAGTATTCTCTGAAAGTGGCAAAACGGCTCTAAAACTCAAAGCGAATGTCGATAGTCCTGTGGTGAATTCTTGAAATGAGGAAGTAGAGCAACAGATGGAAAGTTCGGAAGTCCCAAAATCGTCCATTGGTCTCATCTCTAAAGACGTAATCTACTGTGTGATGGAACGTTTTTGATATGAAGAATCTAGAAAAATGTTTTTCCGAAAATTGATGTATTCACAAACTTATAAACGTCAACAGAATTCAGAATCTATAATCGTTCTCCAGGGAGCACTCTATCCTGTTGTGCTCACAAATTGACTCTCAGGACCCTTAGTCTTTTTACAAGCAACTTGATCCTTTTATTACTTAAAATTACTATTATGTGTTTTGAGTAACAACGACATAAATATGCTGTGCCATGGACAGCTGTTTTGTACTTTTTGGCTACTCCTCACTTCCTTAGCATGGTCTAGGCTTAGGTCCCTCGGACAACGAACGAAAGCGTAGCAACTATATATTATACAAAGTGGGTTATCTATCGAAATACGACAGCGCGAAGCGCTGTGTATCGCTAGTGCGAAACGTGAATCTCAGCAACCCGGTTGTGGCTGTATAGATCTCAGTTCGCGAATGGAGGCCCAGTCACTACGTGAGCGCTAGGTGGCGACGATTCTAGCTGTGTAGTAGTCTACTTGCCATTGAACAAGATAAATATGCTCTGCTTTTGTCAGTCCGACCGAAGACAGCCAACCGTGGATAGGTTGTGTTTAGTGCTTTTTGACTACTCGCCAACATGGTCTAGGCTTGGGTCTCCCGGACAAGGATATGTTACCAAGCTTACGCCTAAGTGCGTCTACAACGGCAATGTAACTGCTAAGCTTTTAGATGCAAGCTGATGCCTGCAGGGCATAAACGTGAATATACAATACAGTGTTGTTTATTAAGATAAGATAAAATTTTATATATACGAGACGCTCTCGCTATATAACAGTAAGTAGTTTTCTTCTCTGCAGAATGAATGCAAATTCTGACAGCTGTCGACAACAAGTTCGTGGATCCATCATTTTTTGGCAAAATAATATCCTACAACACTAAAAGTTTCATCACAAACTAATTTTGTCTCTAAAGTTGAGGCTGATGGACGACGGCGAGACTTCTGAACTTTTTCAAACGAGAATGACTCCTGAAACGACTCTTCTACCAGTATTCATGAATACAGTTCCCCGAAAGGTAAGAGAACCACGCCCACTTTTTTCAGCAATAACACTCCCTCATTTCAAGAATTAACCCCCAGTGGCGATGGTCTTCAAGATCGAGAATAAACTGAAAGTTTTTGCTGATGCAATGGAAAATTGTATGGTATAGATAATGACCTTGATGGGAAACGACAAATGTTACTACTGGTGATGAGTCCTCCTCATCTTCATCAGAGGCATCACATAAGTGAACTATTTCAAGGTTCCGCATTACATACCAGCAAGGCTCCTAGGTCATATTAAAGTGCGTAAAGCTCGTTCCTTGTATTAGTTTTCAATGGCGGCTATACCATTATCTACTATATCGCCAGAATTGGCGGCGTAGTGATGACTCCGCTGTTGATGTGAACTGAGATAGGCTTACAGTTTCAAATAGACAGTCGCCGTGACGATTCTGGTAATAGAGGACCACTACTCGTATGCGATTCTCAAAGTTGAATTCGCTGTTCGGTCTGCTGGAGGGCTGGAGCGCATAATCAGCGAATTTACAAAAGTAATGACATCTTGCTCCTGGATGTCACCAAGCCTTTCAGTAGAATTTCTGTTAGCATCTTCTATAAAATTTCAGTTTCCAGGAAATTAGAATTGATGTTCTAAATTGTCACAGGAGGCTCAGGACGTTATTTTTAACAAGAGTGTTAATAAAGTACCTGATCAACCTGCAAACGGCTATTCCTTGGGAAACTCTAAGAACATTTTTTATAAACATAGTTCTAGTAACGCTATGTTTTTAATATGAAGATTGAAACTGTAGTAACCTTCAGACGATGTTTTTAAAATTTAAAATCTACATTTTGCTGAATAAGAAATAAGCTTAATTAAACCTCAAAAGGAAATAGAATAAGGGATTTAAATCCGGCGATCTAAGTGGCCAGGACAATTTGTGTTTTCTTATATGATTTTCTTGGAGGAT